AGGAACTAGAGAACTTAAATAATTTGCCCAAGGTCCAACAACAGTAAATGTGAGAATTGAGATGCAAACAGGCTTTTTTTCTGAATCCAGAGTCCTGCCTTCTTTACCACTGGAGGTCTCATCAATTTTAGAGCTGTAGGTGAACTATGAGGTTGAAGAAGCATCTCATCTTCAAAGAAGTAAGAGAGAATTAGATGGTTCTCAGAAAATGAAAGCAACGGCAATTATTCTCATAGCTGTTCTGTAGGTATGCTGAGAAAAGAACAGAAGGAATGTACTTTATGGAGAAATAAATATAAAAATCTTTCCTACCTACCCTACAACCTTGGAATGGAATTAGGGGAATGTACAAGAGATGCCTTGGGGGTCATTGTATTAGACTATGAATACAGCCTCGCATCCAGATACATCTAATCTTCTGAGAAATTGCCCCATGCATCAAATATTTGAGATGAAAAAAGAACAAGGCAGGAATGGAGATGTTAATGAGTCTCGGCTTATAGAAGCTGGCAGCTTCCAGGTTAAATCCGATTGAGGAGCCGCCATTAACTTTCTTTCTGGTGCTTCCCAGTTACAGCATCAAGCACTTGTTCTGGGCTCTGCATTACAGGACTTCATTGTTTAACCATTTGGGGTCAACATCCATGAGACTGGAATAAGATGATACCATCAGATAATTTGCCATGTGGGGATTCAGCAGATCAAAAGAAGTTCACTAAGGATATGTTTCATTTCAAAATACCTAAAATTAAAGTTTTAAAGTAATAAAATGGGAAGATTGTGTCTTGTATTATTAATGTTACAGATAAATTTATAGATACTCTCAAATGGGTTGTTTGAGCTTGCTAAAAGGTAGAATTTCAGTTTCACTTAATAGCAAAAAAGATTCTCTTTGCTCCATATAATTAAACTAAAGTGAAGCCATAGCAAATACCTTAAAATGCTTAGCCCAGAGGTAAAAAAAAAAAAAAAAAAAACCCGTCATCTTTTTAGATTGATGTGAATGAGAATGGAAAGTGTTCTGTTATCACTTAGCTTCTGGGCAAGGTTCGAGAAAGTACACAATGACTGACTACTCACAAAGTTCTCAAACTAAAAGTTTAAAACATTTTTTATTCTAATGTGGAGAGAGATTTTTTATTTGAATTTCCTGTTCAGTTCCCTTTAGGCGTGCATCATAAAGATATGAAGGAGAGATGCGAGTGTCTTTCGTTATTGTATGCACTGCCTGTTGAACAACTTGTCAATAAATCATATTTAAAATTGGAGATAGCATCAACCTGTGAATGAGAGAGCAACCCTGTGTATGAGTAATTAGGTCCATTCTTTGAGACAGCAGTGGTGTTTCCCAAGCATGCTTTCAAAAGAGATCTCAGTACTGAGCTGAACCAAACATTCAGCAGCCAGAGTTTGGCTCTTGGTTCTCCAGATTGTGATTTGTCAAGTGTCAGTGGTTTTCACTGACTCCTTTGTGCTCTGTGTAGAGATCTCTGGTTAGAGCCCAGATTTCTCTTAACCAGGTAAACCAGAGCAAACTGGAGTCTGGTTTTATCTCCCTGGAGGCCAGAAAAGCATATAGTTTCTCACCTCATTGACTTTCCACTTTGAAAGTGAGGACTTTCAAAGTGGACTTCAGCCCCTAGCAATGGAGAGAGAGCAACTCTCACCCATACTGCTAAGATGTTTAAAGGTGAGATGTCATAATACAGAAGCATCTTAATCTCTGTGATGTTGTGTTCAAGTTTTTAAAAATCTGATACTCTCTAAGAAATTTGTAAACCTAAGTGGAGATTATTTTATATGGCTTAACATTTCTTTAAACCATATGCAATACAAGGACTTTCAAAAAATATTATCGTATCACTCGATATTGATGCCTGTGCTGACTGAAAATGGGCAGTGTTCCCATTCATTTTGATTATAGCTGGGGTCAAAAGTCCTGTGAGTGGAATCTGACCCACCACCTGTTTTAATAAATAAATTTTATTGGAACATAGTCATGCCCTAAGTTTACATAGTGTTGATGGCTGCTTTCTTGCTACAAAGATAGAGTTGAGTAAAAAAGAAAGAGACCTATGGCCTTAAATGCCCGATATATTTATTTCCTGGCCCCTTATAGAAAAAGTGTGCCAACTCCTGGATTATAGCATAGTGTTAGGGCCAGGAGCCTTCTGCTCTGACTCTGTTACTAGCTTTTGGGGCAGTGGGTAATTCATTTAATTCCTGTAAGCTTTAGTTTCTTCATTTATGACATGGAAGATACTGAGGATTAAGTTTTTAAATTAGATAATATGTTTAAATCCAGTACTGTCCTTGTCCCAGGCCCTACAGATATTGTGGACAGTCCCACATGAAACATTTAGCACAATGCCTGGCATAGAGGAAGCACTCAACAAACATATAAGCGTATAAGATAGCAAATTGTCTTTGCCCTTTGTTACTCCTTGTCTTCTACCACTCTGAGGCCATTGCTGTGGAGCCGCTGGAATCATAGCATTTTCCTTCCCCACTACTCTGCCAGCTGGCAGCTCCGCTTTGTACATGGAGGCAGAAAACAACAAATGAGGTTTCATGAATGGAATGAGTGGGAAGAAAGTAGGTGAGGCTGTGTGATAAGCTGTGTGGAACACAGGAATGAGCCAGTAAAGTCAAAACTCCAGCAACAGGGCAGCATGTGGAACGTTGGCTCTGGAATCTGAAATTCCTGGCCTTATATCTTTGCTCTACTATATACTAGCTGCATGACCTAATTCAGCAAATCAGTTCACCTTCTCTTCTTCAGTGTCTGCATGGGTTAAACACTAATAACAATAACCAACAGGGATATGACGGTGAAGCCAGCTCACACACAGAACTTGCCGGGCACATACCATGTGCTCAGTAGATATTAACACTTCATGGTGCTGCTTTTTGAAGGCAGTGGTAAGAAGACGGTTGACATTGGAGATGTGGTGTCTGCATGGCCCACTCCTGTGTATTTCAGAACTTTGTTCACAGGTCACCTTTTCAGTGAGGCCTCGCCTGAGCACCCATATGAAACCTCAACTTCCTCCGCACCCTGGTCTCCCTCCTTTTCTTTCTTGTTTAATTTTTCTCCACCTGATATATCATACTTGGTATGATGTACTCTGTGTTTTATTTGCTCATTGGCTGTTTCTTTCCACCCACATGAGTGTCTCAAGAATAGGAATTATTATCCATTTGGTTCGCCAATATGCCCTTGGTACCTATAACTGTGTCAGGTACATAGTTGGTGTTTATTAAATATCTGTTGAATGAAAGAATAGAGCCCAGAAGGCCTTGATATGGCCAAAGAGGCACCCTGCTCAGTCAGGATCTGGGATCAGCTGGGACTAAAGGAACGAATGACAAGCAGGTTCACGGACTTGAGGCACCACCAGGGTCCAGTAATGACATCAGCATGGTCAATTACAGAACTGAGGTTTGTAGGAAACTTTAATAACTTTAAGGCCAAATGTGGGGAGTCGTAGAAGTACAAAGAGGGTTTTGGGTTTTTTCACTTGTGACTCTGGGCTCTGGCATGTGCAGGACTCTGCAAGGTGCTTGTGGCAATCAAATTCAGTGATTGGGTGGGGGATCCGGGCATGGTCCTCCTTGGCTGAATGTATCATCCCCCAATAGTGAGTAGGGTGGTTATTCCTTTTACCAAACAGTGAACCTTAAAACTTTTAAGAGTTTTTAGACCAACCAACTTATGAGATTTGAAGTATGGAATTAGAGCTCTAACTGGATTCACAGGATCTCCAAGTTAGGAACTTCAAATGCTTCTCTCTTGTTTTCTACCCTTGATACTAAAGCACAGACATTTAGAAAGCGAATAGAAGGAAAGTGGAGAGAATGTTTCTTTTAAAGAAGATGTGTTTAGAAATGAGAATATTCAGGTGTTTGCTTTTATAAAACCAACCTGCTTCACTAGACTGGAGTTCTTTGAGGGCAAGGCCTCTGTTTTATTTACAATTGTATTTTTAGTGTCCAGCATATTGCAAGTCACATAATAGAGAGAGAATAAATAATTGAACAAGTAAGTGGGCTATATTAATTTTGGGCTTCTTATAGCATTAGTGCCTGACTAATATAGGATTTCTTTACATAATTTGCTTCATTCTTAAATTATTCCATAATAAATTCTAGTTATCATCTTTGGAATGAAGCAGATTTTGACTAAAATGCACACAACAGTCATGGATAAAACTAAATGTTAGTGTTTTTCTGAGGCCAGTCGACAGGCAAGAAGCACCCCTGTGGGTGTGTAGATGATGTGAAGGACTATGTTCCATGTACCACGCCAAAGGCTTTTAGATATATGATATCGATATGTCAAAGTTCCACTCTGGTAACACGAGCGTTTCTTCATGTCTGGAAAGTCGAGCCAGTGTCAGCAAGAGAATCATATCAATACAGCTTGTCTGTGATAAGCTCCAAACTGCATGACTCAGAAGTCAGCCTGTGGTTAGATTTGTCTTCATCGTAAGGACTTTGACTAGCCAAAGTAGGGACACATTAGGTGACAAGTTCCTAGAGACCAAGACCATTGCCCATTGGTGACCAGCATCCCTCCCAAGATCTGATAGGGAATTCTCAGGCACTGTCTCCACAAATTCATGATGTGACCTGTTGTAGCACAGCATCCAAATTTGGTCACATGTTGCCCATAGGGTTACACAAGGACAGTAGCATGAGGAAGTAAAGGTCAGAGAGTCCATTCAGGACCCAAGAACAAACATGAGGGACTTCTCATGATGTCTGAGCTGCCGAAATCCCGGGCAATTTGAGCCTGCAAGATGAACCTATTGAACTAGCCCAGCGTGCTGGTGTGGCTGTAAAAAAACTCGCATGTAGATGTTGTGTAAGAGGGGAGTTCATTTGTTTCTCTGTCACAGGATAAGATTTATTTGAAAGTTAATTATGTGGGCTAGAATGCTCAAGGGAACTCCATTGCACCCCCAAAGTAATCCTGCTTTTCCCACCCTATTTTCCAGCATGGGCTACTGCATCCTTTTTGTGCATGGATTGAGCAAGCTCTGCACTTGGCTAAATCGATGTGGGGCCACCACCCTGACTGTGTCCACTGTGCTGCTGCTGTTGCTTTTCTCTTGGAAAACTGTAAAACAGAATGAAATTTGGCTGTCAAGAGAGTCCCTATTCAGGTATGAGTAGATGAATAAAAGCAAATCCCTTTCCTTTTTTTTTTCTTTCTGCTTATGTATTTCTTTCCAAACAAATGAGGTAACATGGGTCTGGAATATTTATTAATCCAGAAAAAAAATTTTAGTGAATTTTTAAGTGGAAGATGTAATTTTATTTTCAGCTTTAACTTTGATTTTTAAAACAATATGTAATGTTTTACAGGAGCTCATGCTAAGTGAATTTAAGTGAGAATGAGGCTTGTGGGAAGGTTTTTGGGCCTGTGAATTGAGATGGAGACAGTCTTAATGATAATCTGGCCTATAAAATCAGCTATAACACAAGGAAACGATAGCCTAATTTCATTGTTCAGACAAGTGAATGGGAAAGGTATGCACACAGCAAGAAGGAGGAGAATGCAGTATATTTTCTTTAGAATATTCTAGAATATTAAGTTGTGATCTGTGATCTAGTTGCTTTATTTTGAACACTGATTGTGAACAAGGAAATGAAAGACTTTTTTTATCTCCTGGTAGGTTTTTATGTGGTGTAGAAGCTGTTTCTGAATATAACAATGTCAACCTATAGCCCTAAACTTGTCATAAACAGTCTTTGGGACTGTGGCTCAGCATGCTATGTTTCTGGGACTTAGCCTATTTCCCCAGTGCCATAGTCATGGTGACCTTCACCTTGGCTTCCCTGGAACTAGCATCCCAACAGTATTTTCCCAAACTCCCAGGGATCCCTAGCCTTTGCCCCCTTCCAGCTTCTGTCCTTATTTAGGATCCAATTGGCCAATTCCGTCTATATGGTTTTTTACCTGGTTCTCTGTCAGCTGGTACCCAACACTTATTCTTTGGAGGTAAAAACAACTAAAACAGAACTGAGATCACTTAAAGAAAAAAAGGGAAAATATTAGAAGAGTGTAAGAAAGTTCATAGACTTGAAGGGCAGGTGAAGTACCTGGCATGTAGCAGACAGGAAGCAGGTGTTTGGATAATCTGTCTTGAGCACTTGAGCACTCTCACAGGAACGAATAGGTAAACTTTTTTTTTTTTTTAATTTTCACATCAAAATTTTAGGAAAACAGAGTCCTTCTGGCTAAACTTGAGCTTAGGTCATATGCCTGCCCCTTGTCCCCACCATGGCACTGAGATGACTGATCTGGCCAAAGAAATTCCTCTGACTTTCCCCTGTGGAAGTTAGGGCAGGCAGAGAGAGTACCTTGGGATTCTACCTGACTTTACAAAGGGAGGCAAGAAGGAATTTCCCACAGGAAATCCAAGTACTGTAGGAAGGGCACAGGCTGCCGAAAATGAGTGAATGAACAGATGAATGACTGAAAGAACAAATAAGACGGATGTTCACTGCATTCTTCTACTATTTTAAACTAATATATCTGATTCTGCTACTTGGCACTTTAACTTTTAATAGAAAAAATTAGTCTGGCATGTATATCTTATTAGTTTATTTATTATTACTATATTGTTGTCATCATTATCATTTCAATTGGTACTAGAGGGACCTGCTGCTGTGTAAGATTTTGCGTGGATTTTTTTTAATGAATTGTTTTGTTTCACTTTCGAGCTTCAGATTCTTTCCAGTCTCTGTCATATCCCTCCACCTTCAATACTGTCTCACACAGCACAATGGACTTGTTCCCTCTTACTACCCAGGGCTGAGGTCACTATATAAACACAGAGGTATTAAAGTTCAGCAATATAACATCCTCCTAGGCTCTATTGGCTTATTTTAATTTTTTTCTTTGTTTCTAATAGTGCCTTAATGAGAAACTTTTTATGGTTCTTCCCTCTGTTAAACCCTTTCCTTGAATAAAGGTACTAACAACAGTTGTGTCTTCTAATGATTTTTATTGGTTATTCAGAACAACTTCGGGAATAGATTTTAGCAGGCGGCAGTTTATTTCAAGGATAACAGGTCAATGTTCAAACCTTCTACAATCGATGCCGGCAATTAAAAAAAAGAAAAACAAAAACAAAAAGCTCATTGAGCTTACATCCAGCAGCTTCCGTTCTTTTAAATGGAAGTATATAGTAAGTGAACAGTTGATCACAAAAACACAACCATTCCATATATGTGCTTAAAGAGACTTTGTGCCCTCGGAGACCTTTGGTGATCAAATGGAATTTTGTATAATGTGCAAATCAAAGCTATGGATAGTTTTAAAAAACTTTGCTGATTATAATTCATTTATGTTCTGACAATACTTTTAAGAATCTGAGGCTTTAAGAATATTCTTTTTCCTTCAAGACCAGATGTTTGTGTGTATTCATCTGTGCTAAATAATGGTCAAATCAGTTGAATAAACATTTACCAAGAGTCTATGAGGCAAGATGGGGTTAGTAGTTGAGTGTGGGGTCTGGAGTGAGACTTCCTGGCTCTACTCCAAATTCCCCCATTTAAGAACTGTGGGATCTTGGGCGAGGTACTTAACCACTTCATGCCTTAGTTTCTTTATTTTAAAATTTAGAATAATAATAGTCTTTACCTCCTGAGCGTAGTGTAAGAATAAAAGATTATGTGGAAGATGCATAGGACAGTGTCTGGCATATGGTAAACACGATGTAAGGTTTTCAAATTATTGCACTGCGTTATAGAATATGAGAGAATGAGGGAGGGATGGACGGATAGAAGGAAGAGGAGAGAGAGAAAGAGATATTGATTGTCCTTAGAGGAGCTGGAAGTCTGCATGGCAGTCATACACATTAACACATTTTAATATAATGTAGCAAATGGTAGACAGAGGTAGATGCTGGACACTGCATAAGTGCAGGCTGGTAACTAAGACCAACCCAGGCCTTCAAAGACTGTTCTTTTATAGGCCTGAGCTGAGTATTAAAAGATGAGAAAAGCCTACATTAGCTATAATGGCCAAAACCAAGAGCTGGCCAAATTGAGTAAGAAAAGGTTGCAATGATTCTATATAAGCTGATGTCCTTGTCAGAGGCCCTGTTTCAGTTTTCTCTTCTGCTCCAAACAATAAACCCATTGATCATCCCTGAGACACATGGTCTCATTGAGGCCATTCTAATTATGTGGGATGGTTTTACTTGTCCATACCATGAACAGTCTTACAGAATATCTTAGGATATACCTTTGTGTTGTAGGAAATCCAAATTTTAGTCAAGTGTAATCCTTTCCATCTCATCTCACAAAAAAGATCCTGCTGCGTGATGTATTTTTAGGAAATACAGATGGAGGGTCCCCTCACAGCTTTGTACTTCTATCGGGAAAATCTTACATACAAAAAAAAAAAAACAAAAGATCCCAGCACTTATGTCTCATCAGAGATCTAGGGAAACTAATTTGTCCAAGCTGAAATAGGTGTTAAGAGGAGATACCAGGGTTTGAACCTAAATCTGGCATAAAAGCCAAAAGGTACATAAACTTTGCCACACTTATTTTTTTTACTTTATGTTTTTTAACTTAAGCTAAGCCCATTGGGGCAGGGGCAAGGGGGCGGAGAGAATCATATCCGCATGGTATGTTTTCTTTAATTATTGTAAAAATAAACTATTCCGATATCCTAACCTAAGAAGAGGGTAACTGCATAGCTCCAGATGTGTCCAGCAACAGCCCCAAATCTTACATTTGTTTGTAGTAAATAATACTCTATCATCACAATTTGATAAAATCTCCACACCTCACACCCCTAATCTTTGAAACACCTGGAAACACCCAGAAACACACAGACGCCATATTTTTTTGCATTCATTTCAGGATCTCTATGAACCCCATACATAACCTGTTTAAGTGATCTGTAGACCACCTATTAAGAATTCACAGTCTAAATCCTCTTCCCCCTTCTGTAGGAAATAGTTCTCTTTCCTCCTCTGAATTGCTGAGCCAGAGAGTTCAGCAGACCTTCCAGGGCAGAGAATATAAACTAGGGATTGGCAAATTCTCCTGTTAAAGGGCCAGATAGTAAATATTTTAGGCTTTGTGAATCATTCAGCCTCTTGCAACTACCACACTCTGTTGTTTTGGGAAAGATGCCAAAATGGTAGGTAATCACACTGATGCATCCGTGGCCCACAAGGCCAGAATTTGCTTACCAATGATATAAATGTTGTGATAGTGCAATTATAATGTTACTAGTATACTGTGCTACCTTTGTGATTTAGCATCAACTATCAATCAACTTCAGGAATGATTCTGATCATGTACTGGACTTGGTTGAAATCTCTGTTCAAATACTTATAATGTCTGCAACCTTAGAAAAAGGTCTTAATCTCTCTGAGCATCAATTTCCTCATCTATAATATGGGAGGAATATTAAAACTACCTTTCTGTTAGGTTATTGAAGGGATGAACTGAGATAATCCATAGAAATGGGAGCTGAGCTCAGTGCTTGATTCAAAATGAGCACTCCTTAAGTACCGGCCTTTCTGAATGTGACATTGTGAGACTTCAGGTTAAAGCAGGGTCAAAACTGAGGAAAACCACATATTCTTCTCATTTTTCTTTTCTTTAACCTATGGCTGAACACTACTCATTTTTTTTTAAATGTTTGTTTTCTAATCAGAAATTTGGAGATGGTTCTCCTGACCTATTGTCAATTGGTGCCAACGAAGAAAATTAATATTTGACAAATTTGGAGAAATGCCCTATCCAAGTGGCCTTTTTGTTATTTCTGTTATTTTTCAAGTCTTCTACAAATAATGGCTGTGAAGGAAAAATACAAAGAGCATGAATTAATTTACTCCTGAGTTGAAAGAGGGCTTTTTCTCATAACCATTACTGTAATTATTAACAGGGTTTGAGATCCAGCCATATAATTTATGAATACTACATTTCCTTATGGAGTAAATATGTGTAGAGCTGCATGCTTCCGTTAAAACAGCTGGGAGTACTAAATTGTAGCATCAAGAAAGCAAATTGAGGAGACTGGCCCTGGGGGAAGAGCAACCTGGCCAGTTATAGCTATGTGGAAAGTTTTGCCTTTAGCCAGTTGTTTATTTGCACTTTTTTTTTTACAAACTGTTCATTGTAAAATGAGAGACTGGAAAAACACAGCAGAAAAAAAACAGAGAGAACATAAAGGTCAAAACAACAATGGGAGAAGCAGTGTGTTCTTAGGATTTCAGTTACTCCACCCACATCTGCTTGCATGTTATGAATATTATTACTTCCTCTTGCCATCACTGAACAATGCCCTGATCTCAGAAAGGCCGTTTCCACAGGCCTAATTGTCTATTCCTTGGTGAAACATAAATTAAAGCAACTATGCTAATCACACAAAGGAAAGGATCAGTTCCAATAAGTATGCCAATTATCTTTGTGCTGAAATCAAAGTTTTCTTTAAAACCTACCTGTTATCATGCACTATTTAGTTCTGGACAGAAAAGTCAAATTTTCCTGGATAGAAATTAGATGTTTTTAGATGTTTTTAAGTCATTACTATCACACTGACCCAGATCTTTTCCCCGTGACTAAATTCACTGTGGGCAATGTCCATTTTAAACACTGTATTAAAATCCTAGCTCTGTGTGCCAGCTGGTGGGCCTCACCATAAAGTGCTTGAAGGAAACTGGTGGTTTCATGGGAGCACCCAAATGTCAGCATTTGTAAATCTTTTCTCTTGGGTCAGTTGGTGTCCACTGAGAGGAAAGGATTCCTCAGATCTCTTCCTTGGGAGTCCAGTCTTGGCTCCTAGAATTCAGAGAGCTTTACATGGAGAAGGAACTGGGAGGATCCCAGTATTCAGAATACAGATATTCACTTAATCTACCTCTGAGGTACAGCTCTTCCCTCTGACTTCAACTGTACCTGTTGTTCCTGAGTGCAGGATCGCTCCGATTCAACTTTTCTAGAAAGCGAAGCTCCTGCCTTCTGCTGAGTTAGGTAAAGAATAGTTGAAAAAGTTACCTGGATGTGGAGGAAAGGGAAGAGGATTAGGAGCATCACTGCTCCTGATAGAAATTCATGGTCAGTAGGTTTTCAGCCACATACTATCAAAGAAAAAAAGGAAGGCAGGAAGGAAAGGAAGGAAGGAAGGAAGGCAGGAAGGAATGAAGGAAGGAAGGAAGGAAGGAAGGAAGGAAGGAAAGAAGGAAGGAAGGAAGGAAGGAAGGAAAGAAGGAAGGAAGGAAGGAAGGAAGGAAAGAAGGAAGGAAGGAAGGAAGGAAGGAAAGAAGGAAGGAAGGAAGGAAGGAAGGAAAGAAGGAAGGAAGGAAGGAAGGAAGGAAAGAAGGAAGGAAGGAAGGAAGGAAGGAAAGAAGGAAGGAAGGAAGGAAGGAAGGAAAGAAGGAAGGAAGGAAGGAAGGAAGGAAAGAAGGAAGGAAGGAAGGAAGGAAGGAAAGAAGGAAGGAAGGAAGGAAGGAAGGAAAGAAGGAAGGAAGGAAGGAAGGAAGGAAAGAAGGAAGGAAGGAAGGAAGGAAGGAAAGAAGGAAGGAAGGAAGGAAGGAAGGAAAGAAGGAAGGAAGGAAGGAAGGAAGGAAAGAAGGAAGGAAGGAAGGAAGGAAGGAAAGAAGGAAGGAAGGAAGGAAGGAAGGAAAGAAGGAAGGAAGGAAGGAAGGAAGGAAAGAAGGAAGGAAGGAAGGAAGGAAGGAAAGAAGGAAGGAAGGAAGGAAGGAAGGAAAGAAGGAAGGAAGGAAGGAAGGAAGGAAAGAAGGAAGGAAGGAAGGAAGGAAGGAAAAGAAAAAAGAGAAAAGAAAAGAAATTCTAGTTGTCTCCGGTAACTTTGAAATCAGGAAGCAGCCATATGTAAGTTTAGAGTCTGCTGCTTTGGGATGATCTCTCGCTTCCTGCACTTCTAGTAAATTCGATCCTCTGGGGAGTTGCTCAAGTTTCCAGCCCGTGGACTTTAAGTGGGCAATCTTTCTGGTCCTAGGGGCTATTGGAACAAAAGTTCAACAGAGATTACAATTCCCTAACATATTTCCCCAACAGGTTTTAACACTTTGTGTGAAATTCCTTATTAATCTTACCTTTAAATTAAAAAAAATAAATAAATAAATGAAAATATGTTACCTGGGAGAGATGGTACATTAAAGTGCAATTGCCTGGAAACTAGGTGTCACCCTTTCTCCTTCTCTGTCGTCAACTGTCCTCCTCCTGCATTTAATTCAAATAAGATCCAGGAGTTTTTTCCAAACGATCCTAAAACCCATCTACTTTTATCACTCCCCTCGCCACTATCTCCTTGCAGGTAAGGGAGCAGGACTCTAGAACCAAAATTCTTGGGTCAGAATCCCATGTGTGCCACTTATTGGCCGTATGATCCTGTGCAAGTTGAGTTTGTGAGACAGCTACAAGTGACAGACTGATCCCCTCCAACCCCTGGCACTGTTCATACTATCTTCAAAGCTTTGGCGGTACCCTATAGGGGTTCCCCAGGTATTTTATTACAGAACCCCAAGCAGAATAACGAGTGACCATATAAGCAAGGTTTTTAAACTTTTCTGAGCAAAACCTCATTTCCTTATCTGCAACCTATGAAATAATTATACCCACATTTATTATTATTATTATTTTTTAAATTAGCCCAGGCTTAGTCCATGGGATACGTTAATTGGCAATAAAACAGTAGGAAAGCCAGTCTACAATCACCTCTCCTGTAATGATTAATTTTTGTAGACAACGTCATTTTTTTTTTAAAGGCAGGAAAAAATTTAATTAACTTGAGCGTGCAGCGCTGTTCTCCAAAGAATCATCTATCACCACATCCTGTCACCTCTGCTTCTCATGCAGGTAGCATGTGTGTTAAGTTGTGCACAGCTGTGCATCGCCTTCATTGTTTTTCACAGAAGCGTGTTTAGTAACTCATATAATCCACAAATTTTGGAAGACCTGGCTTAGACAGATGCAAGGGACATTTCAAATGCAGGGTCATGAAACTGAATAAAATGTAAAGGAAACTGAGAACATTCCTAAGCACTACTCTTTGTTGCTTACTTTTTTTTTAATTTATTAATTTTAGGTCTGGAGTCCAAACTTTGCCCCACAATGCGAAGGTTCACTACAACTACGCCAATTTCCTGAAGGATCAAGGTCGGAACAGGGAAGCGATCTACCACTACAGAACTGCCCTCAAGTAAGCACCACACACCATACGTAGCTCCTGGGCTCTTCAGGTCCTGGTCTATTTTACTCCTCCCAGTATTTTGGGGATTTGTTTGTTTCTCATGACAACTAACATCTCCTTGGAGGTGGTATAGATCTTAGACTCCAAGTCTTATGACTCAGTGTTCAAGTTTGTTTTAAGTGTGGTAACTCTACCTTGCTTCTAACTCTTGGTGTTTTCTTGTAAAAGTTTCTACCACTACATGTCACAAAGTGAAGCGACACTCAGTTGAATACATACATGCAGGAAACAGAAGTTGGTTGTCAAACATATACTTGTAAGTTCTCAGGATATTTAATCCAGTAAATTGTTCCCACTCTAAGCTTCCCACTGTCTGAAAGGATTTATATTAAGACATTTGAACATAGAAATGAAATACTTTGACAGTTGTATTAAATAGAAAGAAAATGAAAAAAACACCAATTACAATGTTGGGAATATATTAGTAAGGGAGGTGTGTATGTACATGCATATTTTTATATATAAACAGCCCTGACACTTTCCTTGTACTCATTCACTAGAAGACAGTATACTAAACATGGCTTTAGATATGACTTTAAGAGAAACTAAAAATTCCAGTTCTCTGTTGCCACTGGCAGCCTTTATTGCTCTTAGGTACTCTTTTAAACAGTAACTTTGACTTTCAAGATGCTCTTCTCTAAAAGGTCCCAGATAACAAACATATTTAACCTGGAACATGTGGATGCATGAAAACTAAACATAGCCTTGGAATCTCCAAATGTGGGCAAAATAAAGCAAGGTGAGTCCTCTCCTTTATTAAATACTTTGAGGCTCACAGAAGCTTTCTGAAGAACTTTTCATGCTTCCAAAGATTGGCCCACATTTGTTTGAATTATCTTCCACTTTAGGACATGCTTAAAATATATAAACCAAATAAATCATATATTTCCCTGAAGCACCAATTAGGATGGTCTCAAAGCTTAGTTTGAAATTGTTATTCTTAAAGCAACTGACCTGATTTTTAAAATTATCCTTTTGAGCAGTGTTCTATGCAAGTGTATTGTTCACCAGTCAAAATCTTTTAGGGCCTGTTACTTAATATTCAGTATGGCAAAAATTTTCAACTGTCACATCAAGTTAACTATCAAATACTTTTCCAAAGATTACAAGAAATGTAACTTCTAGAAGAATATTTGTAACAAAGCTTTTTATTGAGGAATAGAGGTTTTTATTAAGGAATAGAAGATCAGTTTTAAGATTAAAAAGAATTATATTCTTTCACTAGAAGGCAGTTTTCTAAAATGTTTACAGTGCTTATCTCTGGTTGGTGAGATTATGGTTTAATGTTTTTTTTTCCTTGTACTTCTTTTGTGCTCCAGATGTTCCACAAAGAACACATATAACTTTTGCAATGAGGAAATATCATTTTTAAAAAGTCATTCTTTCACAGATACACATAAATTGTGTTTTGGCTTTAACAATGTTTCATAATTTTAGGTGGCATTCTTTTCTTTTTTTGGAGAAGATAAAATGCCAAACAATGTTTATATTATATTCCCCTTCACTGTTGTGATGATTTTAAAAGGATATATACTTGCATATAGAATATATCTGGGAACATATATAAGAAACTGGTAACAGTAGTTGCCTCTGGTGGAGGAAGATGGAAAGCTGAGATCTGGGACAGAAGACTTTCTTTTCATCCTGTACCTTTTGTACTGTTATAATTTTTTAGCATCTTCATTAATACATCTCCAAGTAGAATAGGTGGCATTCTTGAAGGGAGGAAAAGAGCAGTAAATTAATATGAAAAACTATTGTTGGAAGGAAATGTATCGGTATCTTCTTAAATTTGTTTTATTCTAACAGACTCTTATTTTCTCTCAAGTTCACACATACACACAAAATACGGTAGACCCTAAGGCACAGCTCGAGGCAAAGATACAAATTAAGCAAAATTCTCTGGCAGATGATTTTACCGAATTATAGTAGCTAGTTGGGTACTTCTGCTTTTTTACCTTGAAACAATAAAAACAAATGTTTGCTTCAGCAACTTTGCTTCTGGAAGAAACATGTCCTTTAAGAAATAGGAGAAAAACAACTAAAGCTATAAATATATTGTGTAACGATTAGTGAAATATTTTATTCTCTCAGACCAGGCTGAAAATACTTCTGATTTAAAGTATCATCATTTTTGTGCAGATACCTCTGCGGTGAATTTTCAACAGATGTGGGTATTTTTTTCTTATTTAAATAAATTGTCACCCTGTATTAGAGAGAAAAGGAAAATACCGTGACTATTCATCATTTAAATGATTATTTTCCCTAGGTGACTGGAAGAGTGCCCTTATTTTGATATTGCTATTTCTTCACGGAAGTTGCTAAGACAGGAATTCCTCCCCCTCCCAACTGCTCCACCCCTATTTCAACTTTAGTGTATCTGATGTTTCCCCTGTTTGCACACAGCAAGAAAGAGGATGATTAGGGAAATGCGGGGTTAAAGGTGATATTATCTGAAATCAGTCCCCCAAATTATCCATTCTTACTGTAATGACTGTATAGTTCCCAAAGGCAATGGTGAAATTAGTCTTTAGGGTTATAACTATATCAATTTTGCTGGCTTACATTTTTAAAGATGACACTATATTAAATTGGTAATTGTATATGACATGAATATTCCGCTTCTTTTAAACTTCATTCTATTTTTTAAATAGCATAGAAGTACCACTGGTTTCGTCTCTCTTTTGGTGTACCTCATTTATTATGTTTCTGTAGTACAGGGGAAATCTCCCACTGGAAAATGCTGCAGCTGAGGATGTAGATTCAGATTAAGACCCAGATCCTCAAAGAAAAATGTTAGAACTCTTTCCTTAAATCCTCAGCAAACACTTTAGCTTTGCTTTGCTGTGAATGGCAGCTCTCATGTTTATAGGTATTCCAGGTTCTAGGTTCTATAAAGGTTGGGATTCTGTATGTTGGAGAATCAGAAGACCACTGTTTGATCTGCCGTATTCCTCCAAAAGCTTCCTGACCATTGAGTTACCCTGGGGAGGGCTTCTACCATTCTACCTCACAAGATGGGAGTAGAAAGTCTAGAGACCACCCAGTATCTCAGCTCTTTCTGCATAAGCTTGCCCACTAAATGCCTCATCCCATAAATCCAAATGGAGACATAGTCTCCCTGCCTGTATAAAGTATGGAAGACACTAAATGTGTACTTGGCCAGTGGTTCGTTGATTAGCTTAAAAAGTCATTTAAAAGTGGAGTTATAAAGCAAATCATGCACACTCTTGAATGTTTTATTGTACCCTAAAATTTCATGTGTATATCCACTCAACAGTCTTCTGATGTCAAACCAAGTCCTTTCTATTGAGTAAGAGTCTACTGATTAGAATCTGCAAACCCATATCCATAATTCATTTATATGATGATCAGTTATGATATTTTAAAGTAGGATAAAAATTTAAAGGTTTTGAGATTTTTCTGATTTTCTCTTCTAGTCTTTAACAACGATCTCACATCTCATTCAATGACAATTTTTTGAGCAACTTCCCTTTTTTAAGTATTTCCGGAATATTTGCTTAATTTTCATAGAAATAACAACTCTCTTATATATCTATTTTATCAGTTTGCAAAATATTTGATTTTATTGTGCAATAACAATAAAAGCCGCAACTAGGATAAGTTTGTTATTAGACAGAACAGACTCATAACAGTCATGCAACTCAACCCAGGGAGGCGAAAGGGCCCAGGCTTACAGAAAAAGTATGTTAAGTTGTGGATATTCACCAATATGTTTTATAGAGAATAGGGAGTATCTGGAAATCTGATGACAAAATTAGAGACTGTTTTAAAAGAGTTTTCACTATAGGTGATAGAGTCATAGAATCTACTTTTTCATCTTATAGTTAAATTCCCTGTATGACTCAGTTACTGGTTGGCTAAAATGAGCTGGTCATCAAGAACCCTGTACTCGGGAATGTGAGTAGAGTTTGCCTTTGTCCATGTGGGTCAAGAAGGTTTCTCCATTGTCGGCAGCAAATTGTCTCATATTCCGCTGAACATTTGTTCACTTAGATGCCCCCTCTCTCCCACCCTGCTATAAAAATCCCCTGCCACACCCAAATTTGCTGATGTGTCCCAGGTTCTTGGATTTCAGCCATGTGCAGATTCCATCCTGATTAAAGGTCTGTGATCCTCAGTCACCCAGACAGCTATTTTCTTTTCACAAGTGTGGTTTCAACAGGAAATACACAGTAAATCATCTAAGACTTGCCCCTTCCCATAATCCTGCCACGCAGGAGATATATTACCTTGCTCTGGGGTACTCTAGTGTGCTCGGGCAGTCATGGACCCTTAGAGAGAGAGGCCTGGTCCACTCCTAAGATATGTTATAGATGTTTTAAGCAGAAAATTTTAAGGGAAAGAAAACTGTATTCAAAAGAGAGCAAAGTCCCCGACCAGGCTCTTGTCTATGAGCATAATTAGAAGGGAGGGAATATGCCTTTTTTTCCCCCCCTGAAAAGAGTGCCTTTACTGCTCGTACTGTACAAATATGAAGAGGAATGTGCTTTTGATGTACAAAAGAAATCTCTACTTGCTTTTTAATTGGCTAACACATGGAAAAAGATAGAACTAAAATCTTTCTGACTGGAATTTTATAATGCATAAAATAGAGACTTGTCGTGATAATAGTCCCCATTGGTATCATTCTTTGTATTCCTTCCTATGTGGATAAGTGGAACTCTGTGAGGAGATTCCATTAGACTATAATAAGTGTATGTGTTAAAAAGGAAGTAATAAAAGAATGAGTATTGAAGAAATGCCATATCATTAGAGTATAAGGAAATCTAACCATGTCTGATTAACCCACTGTTTATCGATGTCCTGAGTATATCAGTAAGATTACTTTATTAGTATTCCTTTGAAAAATGTTTCTATAAAACTGGTGGAGTTTGAACATTTTTAAAAATCGGGATTTATTTAAAAAGTCCCTCTCTACACAGCCT